AAGTTCATGAAGGACTGTTATGCTAAACCCTGCAGGTGGATTAAGTTCCGGCATAATATTAATGTGATGAACGAGCGCCAGCTTCGGTGAATTAATAATAAATTAATTAATTTTTGATTGTCAGTAATCGAATTAATTAATAGACATTATATCTTAAACGTGTGGAGGTAATTTGGGTAATTATAATTGTAGTCTCAAATGTAATTTAGGTTAGAAAAAAGGAGTGCAATAATATTATGTTATTGGCCCATAATATTATTTAATTAATTGGAATAGTGGAGTTGGCCCACAGTTAGTCCAATTAATTAGGAAGCCCTATTCCTAATCTCCTAAGGATCCCTACTGTAGCTATAAATATACATCTCAGTTCTCATTCGAGCTTTATCTTCTTCTCGTTGTTCCACCGGTACAAGTTGAAGAGGTGTGTGAGTAATATAGTAGAAGATCTAAGGGTAATCGAGACCCGGTGATGTTCGATAGAAGTCGACGATCCACGACCCGTAGGCCGAGTACCACCGACGAGCCGGAATAACTCCGCGACCCGCCGTGAGAAGCTGCGACGACCGACGACCTGATCGCGACACTCCGGCGACCACACGACGCGACCCGATGATTCCACACGACATGTTCGCGATCCCGACCCGATCCGCTTGTGTTCCTGACTTGTTCGTATGTTGTTCCCGGTCATCCCAAATCCGACAGATTCAGAAAATTTTAAGCCATAAGTTTTTTACTTCAAACCTTTAGATCCGCTGCGCATATGTTTACATTTGCTATTGAGTTCATAACTTGTACATAATGAGATCCTCACAGATCCCAACAATCCAAACAACTCATCATTTCAAATAATAGTTCAAGTCGTATCTGAACTGATGGGAATTCATTACCCATATTTTTCACAAAGGATATCATTATCCAAACATATAACATCATAATAAATACATCATGGCATAGTCGTCCTCCTGATAAACATCATTATCGAATCTCAAAACCATAACACCATAGTTCAAACCAAATCATCAGGTTTTAAAATAATTCGTCAAGTACCCAAAACAACATCAGGTTCATCAAATTTTCAAAACATCATTGTTTGATAAATACCAATAAGTTTATCGTAAAACAAGTTCATAACTAAATGCGGAAGAAATAAATAATAATATGTAGTCCAACCACTCATCTCCTCGTCGCCATGCCTGCCACCTGCTCAACCTGAAATAAGTTGGTACAAATCAATTATGCACAAAAATCAATTATAATTACAGATAGGTATGGTCGCAGCATGAACATGAATCAATCATAATATAACATCTTCTAATCATATAATACTCATGTTCACACCTATAAAAGCCATTGAAGGTCTAAACAACACTCAACAATGGGAGTACATGTCGAAGGTCTAAACAGCCCACAACGACATGGCCTGTCATTAGGCTAAGGGAGACTGTCTATCATTAGGCGCTGTCGAAGGTCTAAACAGCACACAACGATGGGGATAACCGTTTCGAAGGTCTAAACAGTACACATTGAAGGTTACATGGTTCACACGCATACATTGACCATACCGCCCAGCAAATATAAACAATTTATGGCATAGATATTTAAATAAACCCACCTAGAAAATTAAAGCAGAAAAATGCTCGATCAGTGGAGTAGGTTGAGAGCTCAGCTCGTCATAAACCTACATTTAATCAAGATAATTTCATCAATATATTATCTTGACACTTAGAATTTATCACGAGAATTTATACTTAGTCGAACATTATCGACTAAGTAGTTCGTGGAATTTTGTGGAAGTTGGAACACTTGATTTGAAGGATGGACTCAAAAAAATCGTCTAAAAACAATAAGAATAGACTCGACACGGGAAACGAATTCAACGGGTCAGAACAAAGTCAACTAGTTTGGAAAAAAACAAAAAACAGTTCGAAACAGCTCGGCACGGGCACGGGTTGGCTCGCTGGCACGGGCTGGCCTCGGTCTGGTGCGATTTGGGGCTGCTGGACATGGGCTGGTGCAGACTGGCACAGCCAGGGCTCACCTGATGCGCAAAGGCGCGGGGCGCAGGCTGTCGTGGCCGCTGGGTGTGGGTGCGGGCACTGCTGGATGTGTCTGGGCACGTACGCGGTGCGGGGCATGGCCACTGGATGCGGGGAGATATGCGCAGGCACGGGAATGTGTACGCGGGCGTCACAGATCGCGTGCAGGGGACGCAGGACGGTACACAGGCACGCGGGTGGCACTGGCAGAGGACAGGGACAACTGACAAGTTCAACATCTCAACCGAACCTTTTGGAGATAGGCTCGAGAGATCAAAATGAAATTTTAATACAATGCAGAAGACCAAAAAAGAACCAACTCAACAAAGGATGACCCTTAAATACCCCCCTAACCTAGAATGAATTTTTGCAGAAGAATGAGCAAAATGGAGTGTTTCTGGTTGATAAGGCTACAGAACGAATTTCGATTTGAAATTTTAATAGTAGGACATACAATAAATTAGACTCTTAAACCCAGAAAATCAAACCAAATGGTCGAGCCGATTATTTAACATGATTTTTCAAAGAGTTAGGGAAAAACTAATATCCCTCAGTTCAGGAATCTACAAATCGAGTTTTAATCTGAAAATTTAACAAAAAGAACCTCATAACAATAGGGGACAACCCTTAAAATTTCACGTAATTTGGCTGAGTGTAAGATTTTTAATAATATTTCCAATTTTCACAGGACACTATGACTTTAAAAATTCATATAGGCCTCAAAACACATTGAATCGACCAAGGCCTTCACCCTCAGACCAAGAACACTCCAAGGTTCCACATTCTACAAGGGTTTCACGAATTCCCTTCAAGGTCTATCGATTTCATCATAATCCAAATAGATCTTGACAAAATTAAATAGATTCATGCAAAACTTTAACACATAATCAACGATACCAATGTAAACACACATAAAAGAGGGGTTCCAGCCATCATGTACTATTCTCCAAGGAAAAATACGCGAAAGTGAAATAAGGAGGGTCGGTTCGAGCTAGGTCACGGGCGTCTCGGCGACTATCGTTCGGCTCGTTGTGGGTGCTCGTGATCACCGGTGTGCAGCGACGATCAGAGGCAGCAATCAGGGCCTGCTGGTCGAGAGGGGATGAATCGAACAAGGGTTTGGCCGTCGGCTCGATCGCTGGGGCCTTCTCGCGGGGGTTAGCTAGTGCGCGCGAGAATAGAGGAGCGCCGGCTATGGGGCAGCGATGTAGGGACTGGTGGCGATGGATGAGGAGCGATTGAATTTTAAGGTTTTTAATCTGATTTTTCTTGCATGAAGGGAGAAACNAAAAAAAAAAAAAAAAAAAATGACTAAGGGTGAAGAGGAGAGTGTAGGCGGATATAAGGGAGGGATAAGGGAATAAAAAATATTGACTTACCATATATAAGGGAATGAGAGATGGGTTAGGCACGACTCTAGGGCTGAGGAGATTGACTAAAATTCCCTTTTAATAACCTTAAAAATATTTGAATTTTGAAAGCAAAATGGAATAGTTTTCACCAAGCCAAAAGGCCTTCTTCTATCGATTTGGGTCGGGCATTTGGTTACCAAAGGGCTGATTTTTAAGCTCCAAATGGGCTGAATATGAACATCATCTTGGGCCAAATATAAGTATTCGATGTTCGGGTCACAACAGTTCGAAAATGAATCAAAACAAATAAAATTTTGGCTTACGCGATTTAACCGAAAATCAAAACGGCGAACAATAAATAAAATTGGACGAGCACATATAATTATATAATTCAATCAATAATATAAAAATAGGCAATTACTCAAGGCATAGAAAAAAATAAAATAAAAATGCCGATAAATAAAAATTTTAGAAAAATCCATAATTCAGTCTGGGCACTACAGTTGCACTGTGGGATTGTTTGGTTTAAGAACATACAAATTGTCAACTAATGAACCAGAACATATGAACAATTTTCAAACGAATAACAACCATGACATCAAACGAAGCAGAATAACCATCCATAACAAGCTTAGAAACTGAAACAAAGTTCTTTCTAAAACTCGAAACATAAAGGCAATGTCTCAAAACCAAACTAGTACTATCAAAAGATAAAATATGTCCCCCACTGCAACAGCCACCACTTTCGTGCCATTACCCATGTAGATGGTGATCTCTCCCTCCTTATGTCGTCTGTTTTCCTGGAACCCCTGCAAAGAATTGCAGACATGTTCGGTGGCTCAAGTATCTACACACCAGGTACTGGTAGATACAACCGATAAACATGTTTTTACGACATAAATAAGAGAGTTACCTTATTTGCCCTTCTTGAGGAGAGGACAGCGACCTTCCAGTGTCCTGACTTGTTGCACTTGTGGCATTTCCCTTTTCGTTTCTTTTCCACTGCCTGAGGGGTCGGTCAAGGTGCAATTGGAGCAACCTGTGCCTTCGTTTTTCTTGCATACTTCTTTCTCTTCCTGCCCTTATAAGGCTTGGAAGGTCAGCTTGCTCGGCGACTAGCACGTGAGACTTCTGAGTGAACAAGGCTTCCGCCGACTGAAGCTCGGCTAACAGTTCTGGAAGAGCCATATGCATCTAGTGCATGTTGTAGTTCAACCAGAACTGATAAAAGCTCTTCGGCAGAGACTGGAGCATAATATCAACCTGGGTTTCCCCGTCAACAAAACCTTCTAAGACCTCCAGCTCATTGAGTTGTGCCATGACCCTTAGGGCGTGCTCCCTCACGGGTGTGCCCTCGGCCATACGCGCGTTCATTAGAGTTCCTTCCCAGTTGTGCCATGAACTGGGCATGGTGGAGTTCCTTCACGCCTATCCACTCGGAAAGGATACTCCGTTCATCAGCCTGAACTCTGAAATGCTCGACAATCTCCGCCACTATGTGGTCCAGGTTCGCCCCACGCCTTACATATCGCCGCGTGTCCATGAGGGCATTCTTAAGGTATGGAAGCATGCACACTGGTTTGTCTTGGGACAACGAGAACAAAATGAACATCTACTGCTCGCTCACCTTGTTCGATTCTCGTTTCCCGAAAATCATTTGATAAAGGTACTTGTGGACCACGCCGAGCGCCACGTCCGAGATCAAATCAGAAGATGCCCCGGTCTTCTTATATGTTTCACACGGGGATAAAAGTGGCCAATGCGAGTCCACCTTAAATCCCATCGGATTGGCTCGTGGATCTTTAGTCTTCAACTTGTAAATGTCACATAGTACCTTGTCCGTGATTTTGTATTCTTTGCCCTTGAGTCGAGAAGTGAGGTACTTCCCTTCTTCGTGCATGGCGATTGTGGAGAAAAACACCAAAGACAACGTCTGGTAGGCTCGTGCGCAAACATCCTCAAAGTATTCAAGGTCAAGCAATGATAAGTGGCATTTGACATCCTCTTTTATGTGAACATCCGCAAGGAGGTCCCAATCAAGCAAGCGGGGTGCTGACAAGGGCTTCGAGTCAAGACTGATGGTCTCGATATGGTGCTTCCCGAATTCTCCATCAAAATATGGTTTAACTCTTTCTCCGTTTACTACAAACAACTCGCCATTCGCGGGATTGCAAAGGCGGACGGCTCCAAGTGATAACACTTCATCGATGATGTAGGGTCTGCTCTAACGGGACCTAAGCTTCTGGAGTTGTACAACAGAACCTTCATACCGGAAACTAGACTCTTACGCACGATAGATGCATCATGTAGCTTCTTAACTCTGTCCCTGTAGATCTGAGAATTAGGCCTCGTTCCTCCATTCTTCAAGCTTCAAGAGTTGTAACATCCTCTCTCTTCTGGTGGCATCAAAGTCAAAATTCATCTTTCTAATCGCCCAGAACGTCTTGTGCTCGATCTCAACCGGGAGGTGGCACGCTTTTCCATAGACGAGCCGGAAGGGGCTCATCCCCAAAACTTCTTTGTAAGTTGTGCGTTGGGCCCATAATGCATCGTCGAGCCGACTCGAGCAATCCTTCCTAGACGAGCTCACTGTTTTCTCCAGCATGATCTTGATCTGTTTGTTGCTCGTCTCTGCTTGGCTAGAAGTCTGTGGATGGTATGGGGTGGCTACCTTATGCGAAATGTCATACTTCTTCATCAGCTTCTCAAATATTCAATTTCAAAAATGCTTGATCACCACTCACAATGGTCCGTGGAAATCCAAACCTGCTCAATATATGACCTTGCAAAAATCACGACTTTAGCATCACATGTCCTTGTGGGGATAGCCTCAACCAATTTGGACACGTAATCTACGACAAGAAGAATATACTTGAAGCCAAAGAATTTAGGAAATGGTCCCATGAAATCAATCCCCACACATCAAAAATTTCCACTTGAAGATTGTTTACGAGGGGCATCTCATTTCTGGGGCCAATATTCCCAATCCTTTGACAACGGTCACAAGCTTTGCAAAAAATATAAGCAACTTTAAAAAGGTTCGGCCAGAATATACCTGATTGGAGAACCTTGAAGGCGGTCTTTCAACCTCCAAAATGTCCTCCACATTAAAGCTCGTGGCATCCCAAATAGCGTAAGGGTACTTTCATTGTCGGGAAGCAAGGACCTCCGCCTGTTCTTCTTCAGGCACACACCTCCGAAGGACTCCATCTTTCCCCATCTTGAAATGGAATGGGTCATCCCAAAAATAACTTCTGCACATCACAACAAAACGTTTTCTCTCTTGGGAAGAGAGATCATACAACAAAACTCCATCTGATAATAGTTGACAATGTCTTCATATCAAGGAACGCTAATCACCTCACTCACATGCTCATAGGGAAAACTATCATTTATACCAACATGCTCATGCAAAGTGAATGAATGATCAAAAGGAACAATACAAGACAAATGGTTAGCTACTACATTCTTAGAACCCTTTCTATCACGAATTTCTACATCAATCTCTTGCAAAAGCAATATCCACCAAATGAGCCTTGGTTTCGATTGAGTTTTACTCAAAATATACCTCAAAAAGCAACATTGTCAGAATGAATAATCAATTTAGATCCCAAGATATAGGATCTAAATTTTTCGAGAGAAAATACTATGGCTAGCAGCTCTTTTTCGGCAGTAGTATAATTAAGTTGGGCCCATTAAGGGTCAGACTAGCATAATAAATCACACGAAGCAATTTGTCAACTTGTTGACCCAAAACGGCACCCACTGCAAGATTTGACGCATCACACGTAATCTTGAAAGGCAACGACCAATCAAGAGCAACAACAATAGATTTAAAAGATTATTTTTCAATTTGTCAAAGGAATCTACACATGCATCATCAAAATCAAATGGCACATCATTAGCAAGCAAGTGACACAAAGACTGGCTGATTTTTGAAAAATCTTTAATAAATTGCATATAGAAGCCAGCATGACCCAAAAAACTTCTAACTCCTTGAACATTCACAGGTGGGGGAAGTTTTTAAATGACATCAACCTTCACCTTATCAGCTTCAATCGCCTGATTAGACACTACATGGCCTAACACACTTGTCACCATTTTCTCCCAACTCAATGTCAAATTAAATTCAATACACCTCTCAAGGACACGAGAAAAATTATGGAGACAATCAAAAAATGAAGTGCCAAAGTTTGAGAAGTCATCCATAAATAGCTGTAAGCAATCCTCGAGCATGTCCGAGAAAATGGAGAACCTGCACCATTGGAAAGTCTCAGGTGCATTGCACAGGCCGAATGACATCTGTCTGAAAGAAAATTTACCGAATGGGCACGTGAAGATTGTCTTGGGCTGATCCTCTAGAGCTATAGCCACTTGGTAGCAGCCGAAGAGTCCATCTAGGAAGCAATAAAACTAGTAGCCCGAGAGACGGTCGAGAATCTGATCGATGAACGGCAACGGGAAGTGGTCCTTCTTTGTCACGGCATTGAGTCGCCGATAATCTATGCACATTGTGTGGGTGGGGACCATCTCCTTCATTTCGTTCTCAATGACAGTGATGCCCCCTTTCTTCGGCACCACATGAATGGGGCTGAACCACTCGCTGTCAGCCACCGGATAAATGAGCCCTTCTGAGTAGAGCTTTAGCATTTCTTTTTTCACCACTTCCATCATGTTCGGGTTCAGCCACCGTTGGCTATCCTGAAATGGTTTAGCTCCTCCTACAAGATGATCTGGTGCATGCATGTGGAAGGGTTGATGCCCTTAATGTCTCCAAGGCTCCCTCCAATGTCCTTCTGATTCCTCTTCAGCACATTAATTAGCTCTTTTTTCTCGTCTCGGTTGAGCTCGGCAAAGATGATGTCCGGCTTTTGCTTCTCATCGTCAAGGAATACTTATTTGAGATGAAGAGGTAGTTCCTTGAGATCTAATGTGGATGGAGTTTTTGCATGGGACTCTTCGGCTTCAAAGAGCACAATGGTTAGCCCTTTTTCATCGCCCAGGTCGGTGATTAGCCTCTCCTCCAAATCCCGTATGGTCATCCCATCAACTAAAGGGTCAGTTACATCAACAAAGGCACCCTCTTCCACAATGTTCACCGAGGATGCGGATGTGGCTTCTCGGATGGAGATAGATACGGACTCGCCCAAGACCGTCATATTCAAGGTTTCATTCTTCACATCAATTAGCTTGTTGGTGGTAGCCATAAAGGGTCGCACCAAGAGGATGGTGTGATCCTTTTTATTTTCTTGCACATCCCCTACATCTAGGACGACAAAGTCCATCGGGACAATGAGCTTCCCCACACGAACAAGAGCATCTTCTACTACCCCCTTGGGGTGTCGGATTGAGCGGTCTGTGAGTTGTAGGCACATACGAGTGGGTCTCAAGTCTCTGAGACCGAGCCGCTGAAAATAGAGAATGGCATAAGATTAATTCCTGCTCTGAGGTCAAGCATCCCCGAAGCCTCTTTTCCATTCCCGAGGACTATTATAATCACAAAGCCTCCGAGGTCACGTTCTTTCTTTGGCAACTCGTGTTGCATCGTAATCGTCGCCTCGTAAACCATCACTTTCTCCCGTCTCTGAATTTCCTCTTCTTTGTCACTAAGTCCTTGAAGAACTTCATATACGATGGCATATTCTTGATCACGTCTAAAAGTGGTAAGTTGGCATTGACCTTTGGGAGCATGTTGTATAGGTCTCGAAATTGCTGCTCCTGTTTCTTTCTCGAAGTCGGCTCAGAAAAGGTATGCGTGGTTTGTATGTGTTTGGGGACTTGTGCAACATTGATCCATCTGTCGGCTTCCCCGACTCAGCTTCTGTGCTCTTTTCAATATTCTCTTCCACTTTCTTGAGTTGGTCAATCAGCTTAGGCTCATCCATTTCGGGCAATTCCACATGGTTGTCGACAATTTTTCCGCTCCTCAACACCTTAATAGCCTTAGCTTGCTTGGGCTGACTAGGTAAATTTCCTTTCTCCGACTCGGCTTCCATGTTCCTAACTCTGGTGGCTAGTTGGCTTACTTGCGTCTCAGGACACTTGATTGATGAATCTTGGTTTGTGATAAATTGAAGGATCTTGTCCAACTTGTCGTCTTGGTTTGATAAGCTCGGTCCGGCCCCTTGTGCTCATTCCACTCATTTGGCCCCTCTGTTGTTGTTGTTGTTGTTGAGGGTAGTTCGACCTCATCTGCTTTGGGGAATGAAGTTGGGACGGGGTTGTTGCTGCATGAAATTTTGCCGAGGCTGTTGGACATTGTTGTTGGTGGACCACGAGAAGTTTGGGTGGTTTCTCCACCCCTGGTTGTACGTGTTGGAGAAGGGATCATTGGCCTGTCGGTTCTGATATCCCTGTAATGCATTGGCGTCTGCATGATGTTCACCAAAGTCTTGCTCAAACGCCGAAGGACATACCTCTGATCCATGCCCTTGATTCCCACACACCCCACATACATCAATAGCCATGGATTGCATTGGTTGAACTCCTCTTGCATTAAGTAGCCGCATTTGTTCAGTGAGTTCGGCTAGTTGTCGGGCCATAGCATCCAGTCCGGGTGATATCTCATTCACCATTGTCCTCTTTCCACGAATGCTCTTTTGAGAAGAGTTAGTGCTCATCGTCTCAAAAATATCCATCATCTCTTCAGTAATCTTTGTCCCGATATCTCCATCAACCGCATTATCCATCATGTACTGAAGATTATGATGGAGAAAGTCATAGAAGTTGTTCATCAATAAAGCTTGTGAGAAGTTGTGGTGTGGGCATTGTCTTTGGAGATCCTTGAAGCGCTCCCACGCCTCATGGAGTGGCTCGTTCGGCTGTTGGGCAAATGAAACAATCTGTGACCATAGCTTCTGTCTTCTGGTGAGAGTAGTACCTCCCAATGAACTTTGAGTACACTTGCTCCCAAGTGATAAGGGAGTCAGGAGCAAGTGTCATAAACCAAGATTTGGCCCGGTCTTTAAGCGTCTCCGGGAAGCATCTCATTTTTAGATGGTCCTCGTTCAAACCGTGGAGAGGAAAGGTCTGGAGGACAGCATAAAATTCTCGAATGAAATGAAGCGGGTTCTCGTTCAGGAGATCGGGAAGGAATGGAAGTTGGTTGTAGTGGATCATTTTGATCACGTAGTTCCGAGCTGCTAGACCCAA